CATAAGGAGTATCGTAGTCATAATAGAAATTCACCCCCAAACCATGTTCTGACCATTTTTGAATACTCCTGTGGAAGACATGCCCGACTTAACCCTGTCGGCAGTGAATGGGCGACCCGGGTTCTTGCAGCCCTTGCTGAACCTGTACCCCTACCGCACGTCCCTGCTCCCCTCCAATTCACGAGGGGCCATGGCCCTGGAGGAGGAGGAGGAGGAGGAGGAGGAGGAGGAGGAGGAGGAGGAGAAAGATGAGGAGCAGGAGCAGGAGGAGGAGGAGGAGGAGTAGAAGGAAGAGGAGGAGGAGGAGGAGGAGGAGGAGGAGGAGGAGGAGGAGGAGGGAGAAGAGGAGGGCCTTTTTGGGGTCCTGTGCCTCGGGCCGCCCCTGATCGTGGGACGAACATTTCTCTCTGGAGCATTCCTGGGCCGCGTTCTGCCCGCCCCCGAGAGGGGCGGGCCGCTTTCTGCCCACGATTCACGCTTCCTCCGCGCGGTCGGCGTGGAGGCAAACGTGCTCCACATTGAGCCGCACGGCCGATGCGGCGCGATCCTCCGACCCCATCTGGGGGGCTTAGAACCCAGACGTGCGTCGTTCTGATTTTTTGACCACGCGATCCCTGGACGTCCCGACCCGTTCCCCAGGGCCGGCTTTTCCTCCCGAGTCGGCTCTTGACGGCCCTGGGGGCCGCGGAGGGGCCCCCCCCGAGGCCGAAAACACTGTCCAATACCTTCCGTCGTGATGTTTCGGCGGTGGACAGACCTCCCTTTAGCAAACCTCCGCGTAGTGAAAACGGCCTGGGACCGAAACTGACGGACCTGGACACGCAAAAAGAACGGCCGTGACGCCCTCTCGCGAACCGAAAACGGCCAATTCACTTTGATTAATCGACGTGTCAGGGCAGGAGGTCTGTCAACCTCCGAAACTTCTAAAAGGACGCGAGCATCACCTCTGGGAGCCGACCGGCCATAACTGGGGGAGCTGTGGTCCTTAACCCCCCTGGGGCAACCCATCGCATCGACGACCTCTCGAGAGGCGTGCCGAAATCGATGGGTCCCCCGAGGGGGGCTAAGGACCGCAGCTCCCCCAGTTCTGGCTGGCCTCTGGGAGCGCGCATCGCTTCGCGCCAACGCCTCGCCGACCAGCGCGGGCGCGGCCCCGGCCGCGGCCCCCAGCAGCGCCCGCCGGGACAGCGCGCCGAGCGCGAAGCCCGGGCCGCGCGGCACCGCCGCCGCGGCGAGGGCGCAGGCCGCCGCCGGCGCGCCGGGCCACCGCGCGCGCCCGCGGCGCCCGCGCCCGCCGGGGGGCGCGCGCGCCGCTGCCATGGCGGCGGCGGCGCGCGCGCGCAGCGGGCCGGAGGGTTCCAGAGGGGGGGTCTTCACGTGTCGGGCCCTGGGAGACACTGTTCCGACACTCTTTCGACACGAGCCTGGGTGCTCGAAGTTGTTTCTGGGATGTGGTCCTGAGTACGATGGGAACACCATACGGCCTGGGGGAGGGGGCTCGCCAGGAGGGCCCCCCCCCCAGGGGCTCCGCACGGCCCCCGCTCTGCCGAGGAACTCCGAGGCCCCGGGGGGGGAGCCCTCCTGGGAGACCCCCTGCCCAGAGACCCCCCTGTCGGGCGTTGGCAAAACGGGGTTTGGTGGGACCTGGTTTGGTAATGTGTACCGGGGGACGCCCCCCCGCCCCGTTCCACTAACCGGATCTGCCGTCGCCCGAAAGAACACCAGCTGCGGCAGATCTGGTTTAGTGCTTCTGGCCAAATTAGGGGCTCCGGGGCCCTACTCCTAACCTGGTCCCCTTATCCAGGGTCCTGGCTATACCTGACCTTGGGAACCCTCCGGGCGCGGGTGGGTGTTAGGGCGCTGGGAACAGAACCGGCTCGTACTCATCTGCTCGTCCCAGGCGTCGGGCAGCGGTCGAATCCTTCGCGCGACGCCTTACGGCGTTGCGCAAAAACCCTGCGCGAAAAAATATGTCGGATCGGCACGCGGCGTGTGTTAGACAAGGCGCACGCGCGCCTGCCCGCGTCCTAACAGGGGCGGGTGCCACTGACAGCACACAAGGCGAGGAGGCGAGGGCCATCCATCACTCACAGGGCGGGGCCCTAACAGGGGCGGGTGCCACGAACAGGGGAGGAGGCGAGGGCCATCCATCACTCGGGGGTCCCAAAAGCGCGCGCGTGACGGACCGCGCGGTGACCTTCAGATCCCCGGAGACGTCACTGCGCGGCCCGCCGCCGCGCGGCTTTGGGACGTCGGAGGCCCCGGTCGCCCGAGGCGTCCTCGGAGAACGCCCCGTGTCCCAAAACCGTGCGACGACCCTGCCAGGGAGGGCGCCCGCCGCTGCCGCGGCGGCAACGGCGAGCGCGGCGGGGGCGGGCACCCGCGGTAGCTGAAAAAGGCGATCGACATCTCATGCGCACCCCTGCGCACGCCTCTGGGTCAAACGCCTCTATGGTGGAATGGGCCCCGGCTCGCCTCTGAAAGCGGCCGAGTTTCTCTAGAACTACTCGGTTGATCTACATTGATACATCTATACATATATATATAAATATGTATATATATATATATATAGAAACATTGCCACATCTATAGATATACACATACTTATATATATACACGTATGCCGTCTATGTTGATCTACATTGATACATGGATACATCTATATTCATATATATATATATATATATGTATACATGTAGATGTACAACTGCTGGCAATCGGCTGACGACGGAAGAAGCAAACGCGCACGCCGGAGCCGCGGCGCCCGCCCTCGTGCACCACCGCCTCGCAAGCCATGGAGTGTTTCGCGGGCGGCAATCCACGCGATCGAAGACACGGCGGGAGAGGGCAGGCATGAGAAGTGGCGAGGGGGGGGGGGGCCGAGAGGCAGCCGAGGGCCCTCGGAACGCAGCGGGGCCACCGCTCAAAACAGGCGCGCGCCGAACACCTGGGGCGCGGGCGTGACGCGCACCAGTGAGACGCACCGGGGCGCGGGGACGCGTGGAAACCCAACGCCTGGCGGCCAGGTTTAAGTCGGGCCTGTCCCCCTACAGGCCGAGTTAGAGGAAAAACTAAAATAATCAACACATATTCCAAAATGATATATATATATATATATAAACTCAAAAAAAAAGCCGCCCGACTATCTTTGTACTAGTTTTGAACATTCCTCATGTAGAGGGACAGGCCCGACTCTAGGCCAAGCCTCTTGTCCATGCCCTGCCCCCCCCCCTCCCTTCGGCGGCCGGAGTGGGGGCAGCAGCGGGGGCACGGGTCGAACGTCGATCCCCGAGCTGGAGTCCGCGGAGGCAGATGCCATCACGCGGCCCAGCGCGGGGAGAGCCCGCGCGCGGGGGGAGCGCGCGGGGAGCACGGGCTGTGGCGCGCGGTTCGTGCGTGACGGGGGAGCTTCTGCTGTGGCGCCAAGTGGGGGCGCCAGCGCGGCGCCGCCGCCTCAAAAGCCGGCGCGGCCTCTCGCGCGGACGGCGCCTCATGAGGAAGCCGCTGCTATGGCAGCAGTGGGGGCGCCAGCATGACGCCACCGGGTCAAGTCGGCGCACCCCTCACACGGACCATGCCCCGCAAGGAGCGGTCCCCGCCTCCGGTCAGCATCCCCCTCACACGGTTCGCGCCGCATGGGGAGTCCCAACTGCGGCCCCAACGGGGGCTGCGCGCGCGCACCTCCCGCAATGCCCCTTCTCGCCCCGCGTCGTTGTCCCCCTCTCCACCCTGCTGGCAAAATAAATCAACATCAAATCTGAACACCAGGTCGAATCGGAATGTGCGTCGGATCGGGCCGCATCGACACGGAGTGGGAAGCGCATCGAATCGGCTGCGCCAAGACACATAACAACGCCGTGCAAGCACAACATCGCCTGAATATCACTATCGGGCCAGATCGGGCCATCCGAAATCGACATCGAATCGGATAGATCAGATCGGCATGGGCTCTGTGCTGTTGCTCATCCTGCCCTCACTGTCCACTCGCCCCCCCCCGTTCGCGCCCGCTCTGGCGCGGGCCGTTCCATATATCCACGAGCGGAGCGCGTCATCACTGCGTGAGGGAGAGCTCCCTCCTGCGCGAGAAGGGCAGGGTATTTCCCCCAACCGTGTCCAGACTAAGGGGTTACCAATTTCGCTCCGAAAGAATTGGAAACCAAGATTTCGCAACGCGTTGCCGCCAGCGGCCGCTCGTGGGGGGTGTGCAGCCCGTGCGCTGCGCGGTCTGCCCATGACTCGCCTGGTTGGGCCCTTCGCACGTTTCTGCGCAACCAAAGAACGAAACCATACCGCAACTCCACCAGGCAACATGCACACGTGCTTGCCACGTGATGTCGTGGTACAACTTGTGG